AAAAACAAAGTATACAAGACATAAGAATTGGAAAATTATTTGCTGATAACATGTATGTTGATGTGCTTGATTGAGCCAATACACAGTGTATTTTGGATGGAAAATTCATCTGTATGCTGTAATGATGTATAGTGAATTAATGTAAAAAATAAATAAATTTAAAGAGAAAAAAAAATTATCAGAGGGCATGTGCACTCACCAGAGACAGAGAGTAGGGGAGAAAGGACCCCGTGATGGGTGCAATTCCTTTTCCTCCATTCTCTATCCTGTTGGAATTTAGGACATGTACACGCCTGCCTGGCAATTTTTCAAGTTGTCAGGACTGGAATTGAACTGCAGTTGGCCACATGAAATCCAGTTCCCTTAATTACTTAGCTATGGGGTTGGTCCATGATTAAATTTTTCAAAATGGTACAAATGACTGGTAAAGTTTAGAAATGTTTGAACATGACTAGCTTTTCTGGTTGAATATGCTTGTAGCAGACCCTCATTTATTTACTTCTTTCTTTCTTTCTTTCTTTCTTTCTTTCTTTCTTTCTTTCTTTCTTTCTTTCTTTTCTTTCTTTCTTTCTTTCTTTCTTTCTTTCTTTCTTTCTTTCTACCTAATTGTATTCCTTTTTTCTTTTTTTAGCTTGATTATAAAAAAGGAAATAAAAAGGATAAAATTAAGCACATGAAAACAAATGTTATCATTTTTTAAATCTCTTTACTTATTTTATTGTTAAAAGGAATACAATTAGGTGGGGTCCACAGGTGGCATGGTGATGGACTCCCACATGGAAGACCACAGTTCAAGTCTTGGACCTGGCAGCTTGTTTTCTTATTTCCCTCACTGTCTCATTCTCTCTTTGGTCAAATTAAAATAAAAAATAAGTAAATAAATAAATAATTCTTAAAAAAAAAAAATAATACAATGAGGTAAAATGGTATTTCATAACTTATTTCCCAAAAAATTTTCCCAGAATCAAAACTGGTATATCAGTGTTTTTCTGGGATAAAAATAATTAAAGGCTTAATTTGACATAATAATAAATACTATGAGTTATACATTTTAGAATTAAATATTTTAATATAATCCTTCATAAACGAACACTTTCATTACATTTTGTTATAATTTTGTATTATTTTTGTCTTTTTAGCAATAATTTAGTTTCTTTTTTTTTGCAGGGCCAGCAGATGGAATAATGGTTATGTCACTAGACTCCCACGTAGTCAACCTCAGTTTGAGTCCCTGACCCTGTGGCTTAAAATTCATGCTGGGTGAGTGTGTGTGTGTGTAAAATCCTGAGAGGAGAACAGAGAAGAATGGACTGCAGTGTGGTCATCCTCCCTGGGGGGTGATTTCTTGTTTTGTCTCTTTGTCTCTCTGGTAAGTGCATGCGCCCTATAGCATAAACCTCTCTTTAAAGAAAAAAAAAAAAAAGGAAGAGAGAGAGAGATTTTTGCTATAGGGCATGTGTTTGTTGGAGAGACAGACAGCAAGAGAGAAAGTGAGAAATCACCCACCGGGGGGATGGCCCCAGGACAAGCTCTTCTCCTTCACTCTCCTCTTGGGCTCTTGGATGCAGACGTGCCCAGTCTGAGTTTTAAGCTGCTGGGTCTGGGACTCAAGCTGCGGCTGACTACATGGGAGTACCATGACATAATCATTATGCCATCTACTGGTCCCTAGTTTCTTTTTTGTAAAAAGAATTATTTCTTTAATTTTATTTATTATTATTTGCTATATGCCCATGCATGCCCCAGAGAGAGAATGAGAGATAAAGGGAGAGAAAGAAATGGCCACGTCCAGGACTCAAACAGTGGTTGGCCACATGGTAGTCTAGTGCCTTAACTACCATGCCACCTGCTGGCCCCTGAAATAATTTAGTTTCTAACAGTAAGTCCAGCTTTTGGCTGGATCCGTCATCTTCCAGTAATTAACCAAAATGATGAACACAAAATGACGAACACAAAGG